TGATCGTCAAAACACAGAATCAGAGTGAGATAGGATAGTACGAAAGTATAGTAAGTGGTGTTATTGTTAGACAACAGGTAGGCAATGCAGCAGAATGGTATTAGCAGTGGGGATGCGGCTCTGGCTTTTAGCACGCCAGGGCCGGAAGTTAGCCGTATGCTAAAAACAAAGGAGCGTAGCTAGCCGTTAGCTTGCCGACAACAGGAGGTTTTAGCAGTAGTTTAGGCAATAAACAATGGGTTTTGGTAACCGAATGCAATTTGGTTACACAGAGTGGCACTAATACTAACATTAAGAGAGCAGCTATTAGTGGGAGCAGTATTAGGAGCAACGGGCATTGTCCGAATGTAGCTTCGAGGCTAGCAGGCCCGAGCGGAAGTTAGCCTTATGCTAGAACAAAGGAGTGTAGCTAGCCGTTAGCTTCCGAACGGGAGGTTTTAGCAGTAGTTTATACAACGAAAGTTTGGAGCGAGTTATACGGTTCGCACAAGCACGTATCACAGTGGTGGGATGGTGTTTGTCTGTATTGTGCAGTACAGTCTTGGTGTGTGTGTGTACAACAGCAGGTTAGCGGTAGAGAGAGTGGTGAGACAGGGTTAGCGTAGCCTAGCAGAAAAATAGCACACATTCAAGCAGCTGCCTTTCACAGCCTTTATACACATAAATACTCGGTTTCAACCCTCCGTGACGCGGGTCACAAAGGACTAGAGAGTAGGTTTGTACGCCCGTGCTCTGGGCACGGCGTACTTTGTTGCTTTGGGGGGTTTTTGCGCTGTCTCTTAAGAGAGGGAGCGACTTTCACAAACTCACGCCGCCTGACCGGCCTAGACAGGGCGAAACGTTGGAGAGAATGTGTAGTACCTAGTACAAGCCAGGACTTTGAGACTAAATTAATAGTCTGGTGCATGCACGTGTCGCTTTATCGCAAGCGGGGCGCGGGGGAGCTCAAATTGGCTTCGAAGTCACCATAGCAACGGGGAGCAGAGGAGCAGAGGGGGTGAGGGAGTGGGGGAAAGCGCTTTGAGCGGAGCAGCAGTAAAGTTAGCGTATTACAGGTCAAATCACCTAGTACGAGTTGATAAATGTGGTTATATGCGCGGATCTCACAAACAGGGTACCATATATGTAGGGTAATAATATTACAGTAAGCTATAAGTTGTAAGAGAAGAATAGTGCGGCTAGTCTCCAAGTCAGAGGCTGGCCGTCCTATTCGAGTGGGGATCTGCTTTTAATTTTTAGGGCACCAGCAGTTACTTCTGCACAGATCCAAACTAACTTTGCCTCGAGTCAGTCTTATAATCAAAAGGTAGTGAATGCGTAAATCAGCCAGAGATATCCGAAATCTAACAACACGACTCTGATAGGATTGAGTTAAAGAAAAGGGGTTTTATTGACTACAAAAATTAAAGATGGAAAATATAACAAAGGGGATTTCTGGTCACATTAAACAGAAGCTGCATACATCCCATTTGAATCACACTCCAACAAAAGAACAGTCTTACTTTGCGCCGTTTGAGGGAGATGGTGATGAAAAGAGGAGAATGGAGAATGGAAATGGAAGGATGAGAATGAAGAATAGGATGGAGGCGATGTCCTCGTCCACGTGGTCTTTGTTCGAACAGGGAGCAGGAGGAAGCCAGCAGATCGGGTCCAGGCGTGGGTTCCACACACACACGGTCTAGAATAGCGTTGCGGTGGGGTGTTCCAGGGAGCCCGAAAGTGGCTGGCGATGGAAGGTCCTCGTCTCCGACAGCGAGAGTGGTTGCTGTCCCGTGGATGTACAGGCCCGAGATGGTGGCGGGCGGAGGTCGTGTAGGAGACACGTACCAAAAGGGATGGTTGCGATAGTGGTTTCGGGAAGAACCAAGAGAGGGTTCTGTTGCATTGTGCGTGTTTATATTGACTTCTGGAGGGGGCGCGTCCTTTGGCGTCATCCATGTGCGACAACCTCCTCACAACAGGCGGTTTATCAAGGAAAAACACACAAGATCAATACAGCCACCCATAACACATCGTACAAACACACACCGCATTTCATTACTCGACAATGATACACACATGTAGGACACGGTGCGGACGTATGGGGATAATACTACAAGAGCTGGTCCGCGCACTGTCCGTGCCGGGTGTAATAATGTTCAATGTCCACTGGGGGGCGCCATAACGCCGTGGGTGAGTCTCAGAGTGTCCAGGGACAGGAATGCCCGGGATCGAGAGCAGATGGGTGATCTCTGATCTCTGCCAGGCAGAGAGGCACAAAGATATTTATTCTGGGGCTCAGTTTATGGCCTTGGTTGACACTTATGGTCACGATGACTGATGATGTCCTCTGGTTGACCTGGCCGTCTCTTAGATGTGCGTCAAGATGGGTCATGCTCGGAGGGCATGTTTACACATCTTGGTTTGCTGGTCGACGTCCGACTGGCTGTCCTTTAATTCACCTTACACAGTTTATGCACAGTTTTATTAGATACTGTCAAATTCACTTGTTTCAAACATCTGTGAATGTTGACAATGCAAAAAGTTCATGAGTGTAGCCTAGACTAATGTAGCTTAGATTAATGAGATAGATTAGAACCAACAGAGATTCAAAAACATTTAAAAGCATTTTGGTGAATTTGGGTATAGCACAAAAGTAGATGTTTAGATATTTTTGAGAATTTTAAAAGCTGTCGATTTGTCAGCACGGATTAGAAAATCGAATACCATGGTAGAGTAACTGACCCCAAAAACCTGCTAAAATAGATTAGCTCTTCTAAGGATAATACCAATCTGATTAACGATGTACATTCATCCCAAACTGTCTTGAGAGGAGGAAGTGACAGCACTTCCTGGTTCAACAAAATTTATTTAGAAAAAATGAGCAAAACCATAGTATAGAGAGATTTATTAGATAAAAACATATGTTTAAGAATATGGCTCAATAAAAGCAAATATGCAAACATATTTGTAAATAGATTAGAATAGTTTTAGTGCATACATTACAGACGAGGTTGATGAAGAATCAGAATGACACAGCAGTAGTCATCAAAATAGTATTGAAGGAATGGTTAAAATGTGGTTTGTTGTGTGTTGTATTCTTTCTGTATTAACCCTTCACAGATATTGAGCCAGAACTAGGATGATGGAATCTCCCCAGTCCTGTCACCCGAGAAGGGTTATTGAAAGATTGTGACCTAAATTGTTTTAATATAGGTCAAGAGAGGGAAATGTTGTATTAAATATAGACTAAAAGCAGATGTGAATTTGATTGACCCGGAATTGAACTCTGTCTCTTTCCCAAGCAAAAAGACCTGGTCTCCCCTTGTTCCTTGGTAGTCCAAAAGTGCAGAATATGAGTTAATGATAGTTAATCTGGGGGGATTCTGCTAATCCTTTTGTTGTTTGAAGAAGGAGGTGGACCTTGAAAAGCCTCCTGTCTTATCTCAAGGAAGTAATATTTCTATAGAATTAGGGAGGGGTAGTAGTGTGTGAATGATTTCTGTTTAGGTCTGGCGAGACAGAGGAGGCCACATGGTGCGGAGGCGGATCTCAGACCGGAAGCTGCCTGATACGACACGCCCCCTTCTTCCTGGACATCTGCTCTTTTTTACATGCTTGGGCTTGAGGCTTGGAGTTAGTCAGCACAGGGGCCAGCGAAGGGACAGGAATAGAGTAGGAGCTTGTTGAATTTCTGTATCTGATTGTAAGGAAATTAAATACAGATGTTAAACTTGGATATCTTCGTCTGATTTCTGTACCAAATTTTGAACACGTCAGTCAAATCTTTTTTTGACCCACAATTCCAACGTGTTTTTTTTACTGCAAATGGCAAATAAACTGAATCTGAGTATGACTTTCAAAATAAAAAAGATATTACCACCAAATTTGTTTTTGTCTATTTTCACCCGTGCGCCTTTAATACAATCTACTACAAAAGAGATTGCATGCAATTATTGATAAGAGATATTTTGCAAATCTAAATGATTCAACTTATATGTTTCTTAATTTAAAGAATTGAATGTCCCAGCAGTACAGTCAATATTCTGGTTTTATACAAATAATGCAAAATATTAATTATTTGCCATGTAGAAAGAACAAATTAGACCACAAAATACTGTCATCATCTTGGAAAACAATGAAGAGCCCCAATGAATCACTATTTGACTCTTTGGGTTGAGAGGTAATTGTCTGCAAGAGTGGTCCTTTCTTTTTGACTTCTCCTTCTCTGTTTTAAAAAGCATATCCAAAATTATGACAGAGACCAAAATATGCATGGATCTGAAAATGAATACATCAAAACTGCTTTAAAGCCAGTATATATAAAGCGCTTTTCATTCTGAAAATTCAACACCAAGTGCTTTACAGTTTGGTTAAAAACAATCCCACATGCCCCTGACCCCTCCAAAGACCACCCAGCAGACCCATTCCAAACCTCATCTATTACGCACACAAGCACGCACATACACATACAGTCACATCTGTAAAACTGTAAAACCATGAAGAGAGATATGGCTCGTTGAAGATTGCAACCAGCTGAAGAAGCGCCATCCTAGGAGCTGTCTGCACCAGGAGAGGAGAGCCTGCAGCCACATGGGATGACACAGGACCCAGAGGAGAGAGGACGCTCCACTGCTCCCAGTGCAGAGGGCTCCCCCACAGGATAACTGGGGATACTAAAACAAAACTTTAAAATGTGAGACTAAAGGGAAAATATCAATATAAATGTTTATAATAAATAATAAAACTAAGAAATAAAATGTGATAAAAAGAATATTTATCTTTTAGATATAGAATGTCAAAAAAAAAGAAGGAAGTGGACTGCCTATACGTGTTTCGACCCGTTATTATAATAGATCCATGGTTTCGACCAAAGGATCTTCGTCAGGGCATAGTGATTACAATCAGGTGTGTCCCTTTTAAAAAACGTATCTTTTAGACACAATGTATTAAATTGATACGTAACTTTCCCACATATAACACTAATTTGTGGGTTGGATTATAGGTCCAAGTTGTATGCTTTATGTTGTAAGCTTTATCGCTGGTTTAGATTTTTGCTGTGAGGAATGAAGCAGCGCGGCTTTAGGAGAGAGAGAGCGCTCCTCACTCCGCTCACACGCGCTCCAAACATTTCCCATCTTCCACGCTGACTCTATGCGTGCTCTTCTCACCATGGACGCGGTCACTTTGGCTCCGGACACTGCAGCAGTCTGGGATAACACAAGTCTCCTGATGCCGTTCTCCCCGGGTGTCACGAATGGCTCCGCTCCGGGGCTGAACGGGTCCTCCGGGGCGGCCGCGGGGACCAGAGACGCGCGGAGGTTGGTCCTGGCGGTGTGCATCACGGCCCTATACTCTGCTATCTGCGTGTTGGGGCTGCTGGGGAACGTGCTGGTCATGTTCGGGGTGGTCAGGTGAGCAGCGATGTTTTAGAGACAGTTTGAAAATGCATTTAGTCACATTGTGTGTGTGTGTATATAATATGTATGTATATATATATATATATAGACCACATTCAGAGTTATCCCCATCCATCCAAACAAAGAATGGAGAAAACTGTGGAAATGTGCAATTATTGTCTGTATGGCAAAAAAATGTTAAAGTACCTATTTATTATTATTTTTATTCATACAGAAAGCACTCATGAGGTCTCATTTTCGTTGTAGTTCTGTTTCAACATAACAAATCACACAAATCAAGTACAACAAATCTGAGAGTTAATAAAAAATATTAATTTCATGTTTGGGATGCTAAATATTTCTAATCATTCTGTCTAAGTTCGGTTTTTGTATGTTTTGAAATGGTCCTGTCATCTGGTGTTTTCCATCAAACGAAATGTCAGATAATCAGGCAGTTTCACAATGAGCCCTTCATAAATGAACTGTTAAACAATGTTGCTTTCTTCTAAAGGAAAGCGATGGCCAACCTATATAATACAGTGATGGAAATAAAGGTGATAAAACGAAGAGCAGAATGTGAATAATATCCCCATAATCTGGAATATATTTATTTATAGGATGTTTATATGTTTAATTATTTATGTAATAGAATGATACTTAAACTACGTAAATACGCATTTAAGACTTAGTCATTAATTGAATCAAATCCATTTGTGTTGAGCCAAAAATCAAAGGGCTTCACAAAATTGTTGATTTTCCAAAAGAAGACTAAAGTCAAATAATTTAAAAAGGACATACAGATTGATTAGCCAATAGCTCAAGCAGATGGTTCAATTCAATTCAACTTATTTGTGCATGAAGTGAAAACTAATATAAAAATGTAATTGTTTTAAAGCCAGGAATTGCTTTTTCATTACATAGTTATCTTTTGTTGTTTGAAAATGAGGTACCCCAACGTTAATGATAGCCAACACTATTCTACAATATGATTACATTTCATTCTAACATTTTAGGATGACGAATTTGGCTTTTAGAGTCATATTTTTGAGCTTTACAACATTAAGAGCTCTGAAAACCGCCAAACAGCCTCTGTGTCTGAGCACCACTTACAAACTCCCACGCTACCTCCCCCCCCCACACACACACGTGCATACACAGACATACACAAGGACAGCATACGCATAGAGGTCATATCTAATACTTGTGTGGCTTGGATTTGACAAGTGGTGTGTATTGTGTTCAATCTAGGAATGAGATCAACACTATATCATGAGCATGGCCTTTCTGGCAGTATTTGAAGAGACATATTGGGCTAAAATATCCTTTAATAATAATAACGATTATGAAGTAATTATAAAATGACAATAATCAATATTCTTGTTATGAAGTGATAAGGAAAAAATTATCATTAAAATAATACACTTTTTTTGGCTGAGTGGATAGCACTCTAGCTTCTCAGCAAGAAGGTCCTGGGTTCGAATCCCGGGTCAGAACAGCGCCTTTCTGAGTGGAGTTTACATGTTCTCCCTGTGTCTATGTTGCCGTCTATATTTGTACCTGTCTTCATTTTATAGCACGAAGTACTTTATGGTTTTATTGGTGTGGCTGATGGTTCACTGCAAATAACATTATTTATACAATGTAATTTGCTAAATTACACTGCTTTTTTTAATAGATTTTTATTACTGGAGGAACATCTATCACGTGACCTACCCCTCAAACTCACATGACTTCTGCTTTAAATATACCCCTTAAGGGCTAATCACGGACAGGTGTGCAGTATTGAGGCGGTGGCCTGTCAGGCTATAAACTGGACCTTGTGTGCAATTCTTTTTCTTTTCTTTTTGAGATTGAAATAAAAGATGAAACAAACCCTTTGGACTCAATGGTCATTTTGAGGGGGCAACAAAAAATCCAAAAAATGAGATGAGCGCTAACCTTGCAAATTGAGGAGGATTATCCAAACGCATTTGGAGAGTGATGATGCCACATTGCTAGAGGAGGAAGGAATGTCCATATTATACATAGTTCCCACAGACCAATGAATGTCACATGACCTCCTCGGAGACGCCATCTTTGATGGCACGCTGCTGTGTTTGTGCATTCCATTAAACAGAAGAATGAGAATAAATGTAGATATTCAAACGCAAATTGGAAAAAAAGGGCAACTTTTGGGCAAATAATTGTATATTAATACAATGGCACCACAGTTTAACGTGCTACGGACATGTTTTACATATTTGATCAAATTATGCAGCAAAAATTAACAAGCAATGCAAACATTTCTCAAAAACTTTAGATTTAATACCAGTTGGAGCTCCATTTAATTATTTTAATTATATTAACAATTAATTTAAGTAATGCTAATGCCACACGGACACTCTGGATTGCTGTTATTGTTTATTTCCGCGTTTTTGACCGTATGTTTTGGTGAATGGTGGGCAACTGATTTTTCCAGGCGTAAAGAGCAGTTTATTTTATGACACAGATCTTTTTACAGAAGCAATGCTGTTTGTGAACATTGTTTTAGCCCACCATAGAACTATTATTATCTATTTAATACATTTACGTTGCCCTCGAGAGCCTCGGACGCGACACCGATCCTCCTCATAATAAAGTAATCTAAATAATGAAACTCTCAAGTTACCAGATATCAGCATACACAAGTTAGTACTGAGTAAATTACGTCTGTCAACACATTATAAGATACGATACGCACCTGACACAAAGTGCTCCGAGCATATTCTTGCGTGTTTTGAGGGAGTTTCTTGCCTGTTTATCTTCGCAAGCCATAACCTCCGTGGTTGTTCCGACAAAAGCTTAGTCTTCTCACATTCATGAAGTCTAATGATGGGTATACTGTAAAATCCAAGTTTAACGGAACCTCCGGCACGATTTGAATATCCATTGACCCAGCAGGAGATGACCATTTTCAACTTTATCACGACATTAACACGTTTCAGCTTCTTTTTCTATTGTTTTGCCCACAGCATGCCAACACAAATGGCGCCGGGTCGGCAAATCCCCGTATGTAGTGACGTCATGTGGGAACTATGTATAGGAAGTAAATGATAAGATTTATGAACTTAGAAAAACTACTTCAAAGTCTGGTCTCGTGTCGCCATACCGTCCTCTGGTGGCTACAGCTGGTACTGTACACAACCGGGAACCTGTGGTAAGACAACCTACCTCTACCACTGTTTTTGCTGCTAATAATGTGTCTGAAAGGACTCAACCTGTTGTTCACCCAATGTACAGGAAAGACTTAAAGATTAATAGACAGATTGGTGAACATAATCTGAAAGATAAGCTGGGATATGCAAGTTTGGAGAGACTAATTGCAAAAGCTTTAAAGAGGATATGATAAATGTGAGATTGTTGATGCAGTCATTCAAGCTATCATCCCAGGCACAAAACTAGGGAGCTATCTTGAGAATAGAGATGAACTTCCTTACAAACTCCGAAACAAATATTACGCACTCATTTTGTTGAAAAAGATGCCACGGAGCTGTACCACTCCCTCATACGTGCTGCACAAGAACATAGAGAGACTCCGGTCCAGTTCTTTGTTCGAGCTATGGACCTGAAGCAACAAATACACTTTGCTTTAGAAAGGGTAGAAGTTGGATTACAGTACAGCCCAGAATTCATCCAAATCCAGTCTCAAAAAACCATACTTACTGGACTCCAAGACGACACCATCCGCACAGACTTAAAGCCATATTTGCAAATCACGAAAGTGCCAAATTAAGCCCTGCTGGAGAAAATGACTACTGCCTTTAATCTGGAGATGGAGAGGAAGAGCAAGCTGGCAGCAAAATCAAGGGTGAGTCATGATCAAGCCCAGGCGATCCAAGATCAGAGCAGTTCATCAGAGCGGGAGTTAGAGTGAGAGCCAGACGAGCAGAGTTTGTGGCACTAAAGTGTGGATTTAAAGAAAACTGAAGGATTTAAGAAGAAAAAAAGTTCGACCTTTATAATAATAGTAATAATAATACATTTTATTTAAAAGCGCCTTTCAAAACACCCAAGGACACTGTACAGGATATAAAAAACATAAACAGGATCAACAGAATAAAACAGTAGTGCAATATGGGATGGTGGGTGCGTGTGTGTTAGGTGGGGTAGGACAGTCTGAACAGATGGGTTTTGAGTCTGGATTTGAAGAGTGGAAGAGAGACAATGGTACGGAGGTCAGGGGGGAGAGAGTTCTAGAGCTGGGGGGCAGAGTGGCTGAAGGCTCTGTGTCCCACGGTGATGAGTCTGGCTGGGGGGACGGAGAGTGTGAGAGTGGAGGAGGAGCGGAGTGTGCGGACAGGAGTGGCAGGGTGGAGGAGGTCAGATAAGTACGAAGGGGCCAGGTTGTGAAGTGCTTTGAAGGTGGTGAGGAGTATTTTGTTTAACAGGAAGCCAGTGGAGTTGTCGGAGTATGGGGGGGATGTGGTGAGCTGTGGGGGTCCGGGTGATGATGCGAGCAGCAGAGTTTTGGAGGAGCTGCAGTTTCTGGAGGGATTTGTTGGGGAGGCCAAAGAGAAGAGAGTTGAAATAGTCAATCCTTGAGGTGGTGTCACCAGTCCCAGCGGACCAATCCAAAAGGGAGATGCGACCACTGCTACAAATGTGGGGGCGTAGATCATTGGGCCATCGGCTGCCGCAGAGCACCCAGAAATGCTACAGCCTCTACTAACAAGATTGAGAGCCGTGTACATCTTGGCAAGAAAACAGATCGATTCAGCACTACAGCACCCCTCACTGGCAAACAAAATCAAACAGCTATATTAGTGGGGAGGAGGTGCCTTGTTCAAGCCTCAACGAACAATGTTGGGCGACAGTAGCTCAGTTGGTAGAGCATTGAGCATTTGAGCCAGAGGGTCATGGGTTCGAGCCCGACCTTCACCATCGACTCCCACTGTCTGCTGTCGTTGTGTCCTTGGCAAGACACTTAACCTCTGGGAATACCAGCCACAATGGGGTGGCTGTAAAGTGCCAAACTGCCGTTGTGTCCTTAGGCAAGA